ACCTTTCCAGTAAACTTATTTGCAACATGGAGTTTCGATGTTTTCCAGTCTGTCCAGAAAACGTTGTCAAGGAAGACTGAAATCCCAAAAGGATGTTCTAAAGGCGTGGCCCTCAAGAAAACTTTGCGATGTTTGCCATTCAAGTCAGCAGATTCAATGGTTTGTTGCTTGGCATCAGTCCACCAGAATCTGTTTAGAGTGTAGTCTATTGTGATCCCATTAGGCCAGCCTATGTTCTCAGTCACTATAGCTCTACGTGTTGCACTATCACCATTCATAGCACATCTCTCTATTTTACCTGCGTCACCCCAGTCAGTCCAGTACAGATAACTAGAAAAAGGTGAAAAATGGTCGACAGTCGATCAAAAAAATAAATAAACAATTGAAAAGAAACAAATGTATTCTTGATTACATAGAAATACAATAGGGGACCAATCATTTATCGTGGGAGGGGGGGTGGAGGATTGGGGGATCACGTGGTTTTCAGGGGAAAACGGAGGGGGGATCGGTCGTCGCTAACAGAGTATAAAAGGAGGGAGGCTATTGAAAATTGACTGAAAATTAACTGCAAATGAGGGGGGGTGGGTCATAAGAATTCTACAGAGCCTTAGGAGAGGATAAGGTAATGTTAACGTATCACAACCAAAATCCCCCCCTCCCCGCGATAAATAATTTTCGGTCCCTAAGCAGCAGGAAGGTACGGGAAAAAAAATTCCCAATAAAGTGATTACCCAAAAAACGGATGTACTGCAATAGCTCTTGGCTTTTGTAAGTCTTCCTGGATAAGACTCATCCGATTTTTCCCATCTAGGTCAGCAACTTCAATCTCCGGTGCTGTCGAGTTGGTATCAATCCAATATAACTTCTTGTTGATCCAGTCCACTGCTAATCCTTCTGGTCCCTCGAGATTTCCCTCGATAATCACTTCAATATCATTGCCGTTATCAACCGGTGCTCGTCGAATACTGTCATGACTGTCATATTTCCTATCACTCCAGTAAATATGTCTTGTATCAAAGTTGAAATCCAAAAAAAGGATGTTTGTTTGATCAGCAGAAACTACTAGCTCAGGAGTTAGTGTGTCAATTGAGAATCGGCGAATGTCCATGCGATTTACAACAAAAACAAATCCCTGTGGGCCTGAAATGGTAAAAGGTTGGAAGAATTGATAAAATGGAAAATAAACAAATAGCTAAATAGTAAACTGAGGTAAATGGTATGAGAGCTCGTAGAGGAACACAAACCCACAGCAGGAGAAACTCACCTTCTTAAGTCGAGGAGACAGAAAGGGAAATGAGGGCGAATGTTGAGAAATATCTATTTCACTAACGATATTTTGTGTTTGGGAAGGAAACGGAACCACACTTCGCTCAAATGTACACATTGAAACTTTCGCAAAAAAGCACATTTCTCGAAGTCGTTTTTAGCAACAAAACCAATCCTTTCACTACAAGCCATTATGTTGTTTGAGCTTAGCCCTTCCTGGAGAGTCTCATAGACAAACATCCGTTCGAGCGACTTTGTACGGAAAACTTTAATGAAATTCACGTATACCAAGGAGGCCCTTCCTCTCTGATTTTACCCTGATTTTCTCTTGCTTCAGTAGAAACGAAACATCCCTACCGACGCCGTGATTGTCTCTCTCCCTCTCTCTCTCTCTCTCTCTCCCCCCCATCTCTCGCTGTTTTCCCATACTGTTTTCATAAGACCATGTCCTGTAACGTTCAGATCAATGTCAATATTTGAGCGACTGCGCACCTACCCCTCCCTTAACCCAACTTTAATCTTAACTTGTTATCAGTTGACTACTGTTGGGTTAGGTGCGGGGTTGGTGCGTAATTGCTCAGAAGCTGAAATTGATCCTTATGTTCATAACTCATCTCAGTCGTCTGCTTCTCAATGCCTGAGAACTACACAGAGAAGTGACGCATAGGCCGGTCATTTCTCACCTAAAGCTCGGCAGGTTTTGTTGTTTGATGTTAACTCGTATCCCTCGGAGCATTTGCAGGTGTAAACATCTCTGTCAACTGTACAACTTTGACTGCAGTTTCCTCGGATTTGGCAGATTTCCCCGTCTGGAAATCAAAAACACAGATGAACTGATTTGTTACGCACAAAGTGTGACCTAAAATAACGACAACATTAAAGACGTAATGTTTATTCAAGAATAAAGACAAACATTTGATCAAATTTAGCCTTTCGTATTTGCCATAAAGGTAGAGCTTTAGCTCTCCCTTAGCTACAACAGGAAGACTACAATCCTTCTGTTACAACTCACCGCATTCATTCCCGTCGCATTTATTTGGAGAAGTGCAGTTAAGCTCATCTGAATTGTCTTCACAATCTTGCTCGCCATCACAAACCCAGATGCTGTGAATGCACGAACCATCCTTACACTGCAATTCATTTTTGCGACATTGTTCAGCAACTCTAGAACAGTTGACTTCGTCCGAGTTGCCTGGGCAGTCAGAATCACCATCGCACTTCCATGCGTTAGGCACACAACCCCTGGAACCGCAAAGAAATCGATCCTCTTTGCAAACAGGCAAGGTACAGTCCAATTCATCAGAGTTATCCTGACATTCATTTAAACCATTGCAGCGTTGTTTCTCTGGGATACAAGTACCTGTGGCTTTGCATAAAAATTCCTCATCTCCACATTTATTTCGGGTGCAGTTCTTTTCATCCGATCGATCAGAACAATCGTCTTGGCCATCACAAACCCATCCTTTTGGTAGACACTTTCCAGATGTTTCGCATGAAAATTGCGAAGGTTCACACGTAGTCTTACCACAGTTAACTTCATCTGATTCATCCTTGCAGTCTTTATCTAAATCACAAACCCATCTTTCTGGAATGCACCCTCCTGAACTGTTGCATCTAAAGTGTCCGCTGGAACACGAGAATTCAGGACAGTCTGCTTCATCTGAATTGTCTGAACAGTCAGATTCACCATCACACTTCCATCTGACAGGCATACACAACTTGGGAGGCTTGCAAAGGAACTCTCCCGTATTGCATTCAGGTAAGGAACAGTTCACTTCATCAGAGTTATCTCCACAGTCATCCTGCCCATCACAGATCCATGTGGTTAAGATGCAGACTCCTGGGCTGGACTTACATCGAAATCTTTCCTCGCCACACTCAATATTGTCGCATTTTGCCTCATCTGAGCTGTCAGGGCAATGATTGACTCCATCACACACCCATTTTGCAGGGATACATCGTCCTGTTGCATTGCATTCAAACTCATCAGTATCACAAAGACGATCATCTTCACAGTCGACTTCATCCGAGTTGTCTCCGCAATCATCATTACCATCACAAACGACATACTTCGCGATACAGCTTCCAGAGGCTCCACACTGAAATTGGTCGGTAGTGTTACAGGGTGCGGTGGTGTTACACTTCTCTTCATCGGACATGTCTCCACAATCATTACTACCATCACATACAAAGATTTCGTTGATGCATACCCCAGTGCTACGACATTGGAACTGATTGCTTGTACATGTTTGAGTGTAATTACAGTGTTTCTCGTCCGATTTGTCCACACAGTCAGTTTTGCCGTCACAAACAACACTTATCAGGACACAGGATCTATCATCGCATTGAAATTCACTGCTGTCACATTCGGCACCACAGCTGTCTTCGTCTGAGTCATCACCACAGTCATCCTTACCATCGCAAACAAGACTTTTGTCAATGCACTCTTCTGTGATGGTACATTGGAACTGACTGGTAAGACAGGAGCGACTAGACACTGAAGAAAAATAACAAATGTATGAGTTCGTTCGTAGAATACCGCACGAATCCTGCGTATCGTAGCTGGGACAAAGAAAGAACTTGATGATTAGGAATAAACCTAAGACCTGCCAATTGCTGTCGAGATACTCCGTAAGCGTTCTAGCCGATTTCAGTTTTGAATTATGTGTTCTGTTATGATGTGAGACAAATTTTTGAACGCAGAAAGAACGGAAAAACAAAAGTGAAAATACTACTTATTGTCGAAATGGTAAGCGGTGTAACTAAATTGAAAATTTATTAAAGTTTACGCTCGGGATGAAAAGGGGACCTCAAGTCACTATTGTGCGTATCATTCACTTGGGGCCATGAACGTACTCTTGGAAGCTAATGAAATTTCAGAATTTAAAACGGCACACAAAGAATAAACTTATGTATTTCGAAGGTAGCAAAGTACGTTTGATAATACTCATGATGATAAGATCTTTCAGTTTTGTTTTTTTAACTCACTTGTTGGCGGCAGAGGGGTAGGTCCCCTCGATCCATTCACTCCAACGCAGTCACTTACACCTTCTAGAGGGAATCGTTCGCAGTTCAAACTCTCTGGCCATTTAACACCAAAACGGTTCAACAGATCTTCACAGCCAAGTCTTGCACTATTACAAAGGGGACGACAGGGCGGGACTGCAGAACCTAATACTGAACAAACTGGCGCGTAAACAGCACAGAGGAAGAGCCCTAAATGCTTCGAGCAGCCGGATTTTACCAAAGGATAAAACTGGTGGACATAAGGAGCGGCTTCTTCTTGTGTTGTGATGTTCAAAAAGTTGGGAAATATTGTAGTATTATAAGGCATAGATCGACAAAGAGGTATCGTTAACGGCTCACAACTGTCCTGTTTCGTTGAGGGAGAAATGGTGGACATGTGTACTGGTGGAAGCGTCTTCATGATTTTTTCGCATCTGCAACTGCGAACACATAAGAAATGGCTCTCTCAACTACCCCTTTCAGTGAAAAGACCAAAAAGATAACTCTCGTTACTGGCCAACGCAAGCTTTCTTGTACTTCATATTCGAGAATTTGGTATCAGAAATCTATCCTTGGAAAATTTCGTTCTCATGATCACTCGCTGATGTGTAAGGCTGAGCTAAACAAGGTTTTAAGTGAGGTTCCGCTTCCATAAAATCCCATCAAACAAGGTTCCTTTCTCTTTCATTACATAAGTTACAGTAATCGCTACGAGGACCGGAGACAAGTTTGGTCGGAGATAATGTAATCTTCGATTCAGAAAATTAAAAGCAGTTGAAATAAATGTTCCTAAACCATTAACTCCTGAGTGAGAGAAGTTTTAATTTATTTTAACCATATCACCCTTGATTCAAACTTAAAGGACATGAGAACAAAGGAAATTGTAGCCAAGTCAAGTTGCGCTTGATTGTTAGACAAATTTTCCCTGTAAGAACCAGAGGAATGTGTAGAGAACAATATGGAAAGCTTTGGTACTGATGTCCAGGTTTAGAGGCTTATTAGGACGGAATAAACGTAATGTACTCACTCACCTACATGAAGGAAATGACTGAAAACCTTCGATACAGGTACCTCCACGAACACAACTTTCTTTAGTGCACATCAAAGCATCTATGGAAAAACGATAAAAAACCTCTCAATTCAGAATCTTTGCAATGGCGACCGAGTGGCATCAGATCTCCCCTCAAGGGTTTTGTTACGTTCAAGTGCAAGCCATGATCAAGCAAGACTTTACTTCTTACTTTGGGTGGCAAGGAAGTAATCAATCGGAAGTCAGTATCACGATAGCAAAGACTGGACTTGTTCCCCTGTGTAATATAGCATTATTACTTTGTCACGGTATTTCTGATCAAGAAATCAAGGGAAGCATTGTACCTAAAGTGGATGAACCCTATTTTAAGGATGTTGCGCCAATGTCTCAGATGGTATACATGTTTCCATAGATGTAGGGAGCCTAACTTTTATTCTGAGTGTTAATCCCGTAAACTATTGTTACGATAGTCGGTAAGTTAAAAGCGCATGACATGTTGGGAAAGGGGGAAGGAAATGACAGCCGTAAAAAGGCTTGCAACCATGTGTTCCTTCTACATTTTGTACTGCGCACGACGTTTGAATACCAAAAACAATC